TTACAAGGTGTAAAGTGAGCCTTCATGCTCACATCCGTCCCACGCTTCAGTCCACAAGGTTCTGCTTCACATGGAATAATCTCCAGCTCAGAAAGTTTTCCTTTCAGTTTTTCACTCTCTGGATAAAAGAAAAAAACAGAAACTTCATAAATTCAATTGTAGTAACTGAATCATGATAGRTAGCCAATAATCTCTTATCTTTTCAGGTACTTATTCTTATAAAATGGTAGAATTTTGCAATCCTAAAAATCTAAAAAATAGCAGTCTATAATGTCATTTTATCAAAAAMGTTCAATAAGAAATCAAAGGAAAAAATTACTATGATGGTCCAAGGGATTTCTACACTCAGACTTGAACAATATCACTGTTAAGCTTAAGCGTATATTTATATAGAGAAATAAGTCAAGTAAGCTTAATTTATGCTATATATGTTTTAGAGTGGTTTTCATTAACCCGTGAAATACRCTTTAGCGTATYTATCGCTATTACACTTTGGCTCTTTTTTTTATTGTCTCTCCCGACTATTACGATCTATTAYRCTCTAATTATTACACTTTTGTTTCACGGGTTTATGAAAACCACTCTAAGAGTCTTACTCCCTTTTCACCAGCTTTTGTACAAGTACGACTAAATAGTCATATAAGAATAGCTAAGTTATAACAGAAAAACTGAAATGCACGTGATTTTAACCTACCACAAACACTGAATTTCACGATTTTTGCAGCACAAAACCCAAACGACAACATACATAGGAAGAGCACAATTTTAGCCATGCTGAACTATGATTCCTAGGTTGATAAGGGAGCAAAAAGTGACGGGAGTCGATAGACGTTTTGATTTGAAGGAAAGAATTTTGGAGTATGAACATGCTCATTGGTCAATCATTGGTTCTCGTGACATGGTACAACACATGTTTATCACTTGACAATGGTACGATATTTCCTTTTAAACAGCTGAGACGACCGCTCTTTGGCCCATTAGCAAAGAAACAAGGAAGACTATCTAAAAAAAACCTTCCAGAAAACACTGGAAAAAAATAGCGCGCTTTAAAGGTTGTAAATTTGATGTTGATATGATGCAAGTGTCCAAAATTCTGTAAATTTGATGTAAAATAAATAAGTAAAGAAAATATGAACTTTAGACTTTATATTGGTAGAGTGTCTAAGTACAGTGTGCAAAAAATTTCATTCATAAAAATTTGTTAAGTTGACGCGAATGGCCGGGAAGACGCACCGTGTTTTCAATCAGTCTGTCAAAATTCTTTTATTTTTTTCAGTTTTTTGGATGGATAAGTCCGACTCTTTTGAAAGGTTCAAACCGGTCCACAAGTATACATCCCTTTTCTAAATGACAAATCCAATTCCTGCTTAAATGATATTTTATTTTAAACCTCAACTATACAGGCTAATTTATACGACACTTCCAATAAACAAAAACAATAAAACTATGACACAGTCCATTCAGAATCCATTTGTTCAAAATTTAAGAGACAATTTTCGCTGAAACTTCAAAGCAGTAAAGATCTTGGCCTTTTCCATCTTGCAGTTGCCACTTGACAACGACTGAAATCTGTAAAAGGAAAGAAACCATTTACGAAGCAGAAATGGCTGGAATTTTTTAAAACACTGGAAAGGTCAAATATTTGGCCCAGAAAGTACTATAAACTATCTAATGAGTTTGATATGTGAAATTCTTAGCGCCGAACTGATGACTTGAAAATGTTGAAAAAGTATCAATATAGTAGCGGCTGGTATTCAAGACCACTTTTCTTGTTCAGAGAGGCAACTAGAAAACTTCACAGTTTACTTAGACTTTTTGGCACCATGAAAAAATGTTAATATTAAATTTCATACTCAGATCTAGTCATATATTTATATTTCATTTTTATCTAAATATAAATCATTGTAATATTTGAAGTGTGCGAATAAAGTTTGAATTTTAATTTGCAATATATTTTGTAAAAAATTTCGACTTAAAGAGATTTTCCAATAAGTAACTTCAATAACCCAAGTATCAGGCCCTCGAGGGGGGCTGGGTAGTCTCCTTCGCATCCGTTTTCGTGTCGGGCTTCCTGTCCCTTGAGAGGAGGCTGGGGAGAGGGGGTGGGAAAACGAAGAGCTCTCCCTTTTTCTCCACCGTTTTTTTTTTCTCCTGATAACCTGACACTCAGGTTTTAACTTCACATATCTGTCACTAACTTCATACTCACCGCTGGGTAAGCGGATTTGATATCCAAAGTRCTCGAGTATTCATATTTGCTTCCAGCTACCAAGGGGCATTTGACTCCACTGTCTTTGCAAGCATGTGCATTGGGTAGAGGGAAGGGAACCCAAAATCCCATCACTTTCCCGTGGACAGAGGACTCGGCATCGGTAACATTCTCATCTGTAAAAAATGATATCAACTAGTCACTTCGATCTTATAGAAAGTGAGTGCTGCGAGTAGCTATTTCATTTCACAACGTATAACAGATGTTTGGTCACATCAGCACCGCAGTGGTGTGATGCAACTTGTCACGTAACGCAAAATTCTTCAGGCAGTATACGGGGTTTTTTTCAAGCTACCTGTTTCGCGAATTCCAATCTGCAATTGCGAAACTCTGAACATATAAAAGAACACTGTCTTCCCCTTGAAACGCAGCAACAATATAATTTGAATATTAGTGTTTCGTCAGACATTCACGTCCAATGATTATTTTCTCTGACCTGTCTTGCTTCAGCCCAAAAAGATGCACGACATAGGAAGTGACCAATTATAGATTTAAAAGACAATGYCTCATGAAAACACATAGCAAGACATACTTACGCGGAATAAAGGTTGCTTTAACGCTGACTTCAGTTCCTTTCTTTAATTCACAAGGTTGAGATGGACAAGGAGTTATCTCAAGTTGTTGCAATTCCCCCTGTCCTTTTCCCGCGCCTGTCAAAATTCATTGAAATAACTTCAAATATGCGGTTTGGATTGTTTTCCCTTGAGGAACAGAAACGCGTTTGTGCGGGCCCAGTTGTTGGTATTACACTCTCAGTAAATCTATTGTTTTAAATACCAACTAAAAGTCACTTTTAATWTGCAAAATATTTTGATCAACAACAACCCAAGACAGCAGTAAAAATCTTCGATCGATAGATAGGGGGTGGGTCCCTGTATTCATACTCTGCAGGGTTACTCAGTGCAAACTTGCCGATATCTTTTTACATTTTGCTTCATAAGATTTTACCAGTAGCAAATATAGGACTAATTTTCGCTAACCGTACTCGTATACGTCGATAAYTCAGACGTTTTTTTGACAAAGTTTCAAATTATGCATAAGAATATTACCCAATGTCGTCAAAGGTCATCAGGGACAATATTAAGATCAATAAGACCAATAACTTTGAAAGTAAATCATTTTGTAYCMGAAACTTTTCKGACGGGTRTTCATTGCGTAACATTATACCCTGCTAACAATAAAAGCTTTTGATTCTTCATAGGTGTAGCATTGCAGATTGAATATATAATTTCCCAGGATATTTGCTTTCAGAGATAAAATATAATTTGCGCATATAAAGTACTTACTGCAGTCAGTAAATTTGACTACTTCGCATGATCCAAGATTCAGTACCGACAAAAGGCACACGAAAACCAATAAATTCAGCATTTCTTTAGATGTTCTGCAGCACTGTTGTTACTCAGTTGAACACAAGACAAAAAGAGGATGACCGTTTATATGCCCTTGCTCATATCGCAAACAGTGTTGGATGATGTTSATACGTCAATGTGATTGGTCGATATTGTCAAGTGACCTTGTTGTCACGTGATRTCGTACGAGTACACAAWAGGCAGCTGGAATGTTTCTACACCTATGTTGCTGTTGTGTGTGTAAACACTATTTATAGCTTTATGAATCTTACACACTGACTAGAGATTATCCTCCTCAGATCTGAGGCTACCCGTGTAATTTCCCTTATAATTATTAAGTGTTTAACGATTGATGGCGCCAAGACCGTACCCCCTTCGGGTGGCATCGGCTGCCCCGTATCCATCTAATTCATAATCATCCGACTGTTATTGCCTCCTTCTAAGCACTATAACTTTCTTTCATTTCTATATCGTGTTATACTAGCTATTGAACTAACAGTGGGTGCTTAGCATGAGTGTATGTATTTTCAATATGATGGAAGATAYACATAGGTAACGTGGCTTCAGTTTAGCGGCGATATACATGCATCCCAAGGGCGGTCGGCCACGTTACCTGTAGACCGCACATCCCAAAACTCCGTATCTTCTGGGTAAACGGCATGAACCAGTCAGCAAACTCTCTCTTTTTAAACTGTTTACTTGGTCGTACACTTTTGAACAGCTATGGACACAGTTCACAGTTTTCTGTTATTGACTATTGTTACTTTAATTGAATCAACTTTGGAGCTGATTCAATATTGMAGTATCAATGTTTTGAGAAGAACTACAATGCTCAATTCTTCTTTGCTTCAGTGGAAGTGGTTTTGTTTGTTCATAATTCAAGGTCGTGATATGGTATATCATTCTGATTGTCGGGTTCAGTTTTTTTTTTTTTTTTATTATTTCTGGCCAAACTTCCGGTCACGGATCCCAAATTTATTTTCAAATTTGACTCCTGATCCCAAAACATTGAAGTATTCCGAAAAAAAGATCCCCGACCCCGATCCTAGCAGTTGCCTGGTGAGCCCGCTCACAAGCTAAAATCCTGATCTTTTTGATCCCGAAATAATGCTGATCCCATATACCATGTCACGACCCTGCATAATTGCGTTGCCTATCGTGATGGCGCTACACCTGCTGGAACTGCGGAGTCAGTACTGATAAAAGCTAGAGCGCAGGAGTCCGTCGTCCACACTGCGGTCAGATAGACTCGATGACGCGGTTAGCTTTATTTTCAACCATACAAGGTTGTTCAGAAGCTGTAATGTGCTTTCTCGTAATCACAATCGCTTTATTTTTGCTGGCAAGTTCGTAAGAATTTTTTTTATTTGACGGTTTGGTTTAGTTAAGCGCGTCTATACGGGTCATCGAAGGAAGCTGTTCTATTAAAGGTATTGTCCCACGAAAAGACGTGAAACACATCTAGAAAAACAGAAGAGACGCCTTGTTCTTGTTCTTGTTCAGTTTTCTTTTCACTCTCTTTTATTTTACAAGCTGTTTTCAGTCATGTTATTTTGGATTGCCCCAGCAAAAGTTTACTTGACTGAKCATCATATCCGAGGTTTGTTTAAAAGTTATGATTTCAAGCTTTTCAAAATTTCAAAATCTCGTCGCCGCGATTACTGATCTTTCACCGGGCTTCCTGCCTCAAAATGGCGCCMGCGAACACTTACTTCGGCGCATGCGTAATTATCACTAACAAGATCACAACAAAGATGGCGTCCGCCAGCAGCAAAATAGCAACGGACAGCCAAGGGAAACCCTCTATACAAGCTAATAATTTACCACCAGATGAAGATGACGATGAAAATATAGACTTAGGTGCTGCATCTCCCTCGCAAACGTCTTTGAAAGACTCAAAGCAAGGATTTGAAATGATAAAYTTAGACGCAGATGAAGAAGACGAATATGACTTTGAATCGAGTCTACCAGACAAACGACGAAAGCGTTACAGAAAGAAGAAGAAAAAGAAGGAAGAACTTTGTGATAGTAGTTCTGACGATGAATCCACAAAATCAAGGTCTAMAAACGAGGAAGTTAACCCGGTATGAGTGAAAACTTGTGTTTTAAATCATTTGTACAATGTACTAAACTTACAAGGTGTAAACTCAATATTTGAGGCTGAATATTTTAGGCTTAAGTGTTAGTGATTCAGTTTCAATGATTTATTAAGCATATGCTTTCAATCACCAGTAATGGTTTGTCGATGTTCTTACTGTTAAAGTTCCTGCTCTTTACAGTATTTCACGGCGAAAAAAATAATGAAATCTGTTCTTTTGTCTCCTGGTTTTGTTTTGATGTTTTTCCCCTAATGAACTCTCTTGTATGTATTATAACTTATATAGGCCTAGTTTAGCTGCTCAACTGTTATTGTGTCTAACCTGGAATGTAATTGCCAGCATTTTTTAGTTCATGGCCAGTTCAAACTCTGAATTCATTGAGRTTTTCTTGGTATTTTGTTCAGTTTGGCAAACTCTATATAATTTATAAATGTCAATTGTTTTAGACTGCAAACTTCCCTTGAACTACAAGCAAGCAATTAGATTAGATACATCAAAACATTGGTGTATAAACCAGGGTTTTGTAAGATTAAATAATAACCTTAAAAAGTTTTATTGCATTTTATATTATGCTTAAGATATTATAAAATTTTGACTTTTAAATTCTGTTCCTGTATTCCCAGTCTGATTTGACATGGCCACTATACCTATGGTATTATATTGTGGCTGTATCCACTGGAGCATTAAGAGGTAAAACTATATTTTCATGTTTTGATGAATTGATAATCATCAAGTTATAATATATTTGTCACACGTTCTTATTTTACTTGTGGGCTAATTGATGATTTTATTACTATTCTACAGCGGCCGAGTACTTAGGAGAGAAACTTGCGTACTTCTTTGGGATCACCTCTCCAAAATATCAATATGTAATAGATGAATATTACAGGCAGAAAGAACTGGTATGCAATACAGCAAAAATCCTTGCGTTGAGACCTTGAAGTTTTGAAGCTTGTTAGAGTTTTGGGATTTGGTGCGACTTGCCGTGAAGTTTCATCTGATCAGTCAACTTAATTCAGACTATTTGAATACAAAATTTCATCAGCAGAAGATATTTGTATGTAAATATACATGAATTAAAGTTGTCTTTTATTAGAACGATTTCACATAACGATACAAAAAATGCAAATAGGTTTATTTTATGCAAATTTATTGACTGTACAATGAAATCATGTCATCATGTAATACAGACTCTATTCTCTCACTTATTGCAGCTTTTTTGCTACTTTGTATTATCATTACATCACAACAAAACACGAACATTTCATTTTACGAGCAGACTTGACATGCTTCAGTCTTTGTGCCAAGCTTTGCTAAATGTCTATCATCGGCACATGCAGAACTGTACCATGCAGCATCTAGTACAAGCTTAGCCTCAAATATTTTCAAAAGACTTGACACGTCTTACGGCCAAAAATACCACAAGATCAATGGCAGGAGGGAGTAACCACCTTGGGTGTCTCTTGGTAGTCAACTAATTTTTGAGAAAGCCGAGCAAAGGCTGGCCAACAAAAAGTCAAGTCCGTAATTATATTTGGACTCAATAAAAACTGTTTTGTTTTGCTCATGATGAATGACAATAAAATCTAATTACAAGATAGGAAACAATGCTGTAATAAGTGAGAAAATGAAGCGTGTATTGCATCATTACATGAGTTTATTTTACAGTCAATAAAATTTGCATAAAATAAACTTATTTGCATTTTTTGTATCGCTATGTGAAATCGTTCTATTATAATACAAGTCACAGAAAAAAAATCCAGCAAGTTCATGTCAAAACGTCTTCTTCGCAATCAAGGATTTCATTGCAAAATCGCACATATTCAATGTAAGCCAATAACAATATAAAACTATACAACATTAATAAATAACAACTTAAAATAAATCATGTAATTATATTGGACTTTTTTTCAATGCAGGAAAAAGAAGAAGAAGATAGAGAAGAAAGGGAAAGAGAATATGTTGCAAGAATGGAGGCAGAGAGGATTGCAAGCTTAGARGGTGGAGATAATGCTCAAGCAACTTTAACAATTCCAGATGACCCTTCTATTCAATCGCCAACGAAAACATAATGCGTACTTAATGCAGTCTGCACCAGTATAGACTTTTGAGAGAACATTCGCAAATTGAAATATTCTTAATGCTCATCTAATATGCAATAGCATCAGAATGTGACCTTAACAGCTTCATCCATACATGTAAGTGTTGGGATACTGCAGTTTCGAGGTTAAGTTCRGGGTAGGGTGCRCCAATATAAAAATGAAACAATTGATAGTGATGATATTTTTAGCGTTAATCATCAACTTAAATCTGACATATMAAACATTTTAAAAGGAAAAGTTATAAGTTGATACTCAGATTGTATTATAGACTATTTTGTCTATGAATGATCTACAAACTGTGTGGTGTAGAGCAAGGAATCTTTTGCTCATACAGTAGAAAGCTTACTATTCTAAGATAGCAATTTTATATCATTAGTGAAAGTTTTGATGATAAAAAACATCCTCTTATCAGGGSCCTTCTCKGTTTCCTAACTGAAAATCAAAGGGAAACTGAGAAAAATCTGGGTCAARAATGGATTAAGAGCAGTTTTATCATAAGTAGGCCTTTTGYGGGACATYGTCACATGACCTAAATYGATCTTGTCAATCAAAGCTGTCCTCAAAAGTGTRTGRTAAAACACACACTCCCTGGAAATATAAGTTTTATAGTGACTCATCCCCAAACTTGTCTCAAATCTTTTTTCTAGTGTCTCGGAAAGCATATACCTTTTACATTCGAGATAGGAGAGAACGACTGGGGACAAGTCAGAGCTTTATATCTTAAGAACTGAAGATATGAGAATTTTTAAAATGAAATCACCAATCCTTGACAAGATTGTCAAAGAGTTCTTAAAGCTTCAGTTATAAAGTTAATGAGCTCAAACATTCAGGGATTATTAGTTTTAGCATACTGTTGCATTCTGTTTGAGCTGCATTAATGTCTTGTTGATTGACAAGGTTAATTTAAGCCATGTGACCATGTCTTGCAAAAGGCTTATTAAAATAGTTCTGAATATTGCACTTTCTTAATGTCTTCACACAACATAAAAAGCAAACATGCAATAATTGCACAATTAAATTATTTTACAATKAGGTTAAATAGGAAATTCCACCGTTTTTGTACAAGTTCATATTTTACAGTGGTTATTGTTTACTCCAAGTTTTAATCCAGTTGTAATTACTTTATATTTAATATAAAGATTATTAATTACAAAGTTAAATGAGGACTTTGTTAGTTTCAATTAACACATTAGTATAGTTTATGGTTTTTATGTGAGCACTGTATACAGMAAATTTCAGAAAACGTTGAATATTGTACATTGCATAGTGTATTCCAAGACCGCAATGCATTGTTTCTATAAAACTCCCTGTTAGCTGCGGGATACAATGACACTTCTTGACTCAATTGCTTTCCATTGAAGTTCTTGACTGTACGAAGCTTTTATAGTCCTTCTCAAACCAGGAAATCAATCATTCAACTGTTCGCCCGTCTCTCCTTAAAAGACAGCTGTMATTTTACTTGAATGACTTTCAAACATTATTGTTATGTTATTTCCTTTCGCCTACAGCCTTTCAGCACTCAGTTGTCTTCTGATCGTATTCGTTCAGTCGTTAGTTTCAGAGTTTCTTCATGGGTTGACGTTTTTCCTTCCATTTTCCTTTTTTTAAATTCTGTATATCTTGTATTTGATAAACTTATTAGCGCGTTGTCCCATTGTATCCCAATTTTGTTGGTTAGTAAGCTTTATCAATTAACTTGATGGTTGAATATGTTGTTTCTTTGCCTTCTCTTCGACTCCTTTTCAACGGCAATGCATTGTGGTCTTCGATTGCGATATCTTGGTGTTCAAAGTTTTTCAAATATTGTGTATGAATATAATATTAGATTACTTCTTTTGTAGTGATGAGCAACTTATAGCTTACCTTCCTCTGAAAGGTACACCTTTAGTTTGTCGTTAAGAGAGGGTCGTACTTGTACGTGACACGCACTACATTATAGTTGTAAATTCAATTTCAGTTAAAAWCAATTTAAAAATTCGTTTCAGAAATAAATATTTGAGTTATATGCTGTGTTATTGCTCAAAATGATCACGTAAACCTTATGTTACTACGTGTTCTATGTGTATTGCCAGTGGTGTTTTGAATGGAATTTGCTTATCTTTTCGCTACGCTCACTTCGCAAGAAATCTTTTCAACACTATATATCTGACAATAATTTTTAATTTATAATAACTCTGATCACATTATTAAGTGATTACAATTCTATCGATCCGTCTTTGGGCTTGCAAAAATCGTTGTAGTCGTCTGTTGTAAATCCTGGATTTTTTTAAGCAGAGATTTGTACTCTTGAAATTTGTTCAGCCAATCCTACAAAAAAACAGAAATCCAATTGGTTTGTATATCTCAACAGAACTACAGCTGCCACTGGCAACAGGTGATATAGATAATATAGACAATAACAGGGTTGGGTTTCTCAACAAGAGTCATCAGAACCCGTGAAACAAAACAAGTGTAAATGTCAAAGCGTAGGGAAGCGTATTACACCTTAGTGAGGAAGAAAGACGTACAAAAGAAAGAGTATTTAGTCAGTGGGCAAAAACCTAGAGTGGTTTCTATGTCCGTGAAACAAAATGTAACATCCAAAGCGTTAAATACTACTACACAGAAAAGACAAAGAAAATTATGGAAAAATTGATGAAAAAAGTCGCAAAGAATATATTTCACGGGTTCATAAAAAACTTTCCCCTGCATGAAAGTCAAACTGTACCTTTGTCTTTTTAGAGTAATTTTGCGTTATCAATCTTCGGTTACCTACTGTCACTATTTCATGTTATTTACAAATTTCTCTAATATCATAGACGGAGAATTGCTCCTCTTAATAACATTGCGACCGCTGATTTATCAATCCTCGTTTGTTGTGTTGAACAACATGTTCGCGACAATGCTCATAACAAGTTCTCGTTAGTAATTATAGGGGAGAGATCTTCAAAAGCGCGAGTTTACCTTGTTAGTATCTGTTGTAAGTTCGTCTCTTTTTCTTCCGCTGCCTCCACCTTGTACGAACAACGTAGAAGCTATACTCGCTATGTTAGCAATAATAGCAACGCAAACCAATAAGTGACCCAAATTCATAATGGCGCTTAAGATCAGTGAACTAAAAAACTGAATTGAGCAGGATTCAGAGGCTCTATTTATAGTTGGTAACGTGGTCAGTTGTTGAAGTAATTAAAGAATAGGACGCTGTAGGCGCCGTGGAAGGTATAAGGTTCCAAGTGGTCATGTATTTGGTTTATCAGCATAAAGAGTATTGAATCGCCACCACAAAATAAAAATTGAATAAAACTCGGATTTTAAGGTAAGGATGCTGTAATGTAAAGGGCTGAAAATCTCTCGCCTTCGACTAGAGATTTTTTACGCCTTTTTCGCGTTATCGCAACATCCCGCGTGGTTTATTTCACCAGGAACGCACGAAAACGTGTTGTTTATTGCTTTTATATTAGAGCATTTTCGCATTCATGGTTTTACCGGTGAAATAAACAATAACATTTGACCAATCAGATAGCGCATGATAGCTATAATATTATTAAATGGAAATATACCACCAAAGTTTGCTAAGAGAAAGTGTAGCGTGGATGAGGGGGTGAACAAGGGCGCTAGTGAAGGGTTTTCGACCATCCAAGTTACATCTCGGTGGTTTGACTATCTTTATACCAAGAGTAACCGAGACGTACTTTTTGTGATTTCAAAATTATTCACATATAATTTGAATCCATTGGAAGATAGAGAACTGCTTGCCCAACGCTCCCCCCCCCCCCCCCCCCCCCCCCCTCCCCCGGCAAGATTAATATACAAGCCGCACAAGAATGAAAACACAACAACATTAAATGCAAAGACGAAAACTGAAATATGGCTTATCGAAGCGTCTTTGGCAAAACTTTTTACGCGTTATATAGAAATACGATGCAGCAATATACGCCAATTTTTGATTGATACCAAAGTCATAAATCAGCATTTAGAACTTTACTTCTCTTTTACATATTCCTAAAATGTGTTACTTAACTCCGCGATTTCGACAAGGATTAAACACCACCTGTGGAACAGGCTCAGATATACGACTCTACAAACAATAGGTATTCCTGCAGCTGCTCATTTTCATATAAATATGTGAAAAAAGTGTACAAAAAGTCTTTATACTCTTACACATTTCACGAGTATGGAATTTTGAAATCCTTTAGTCCATAATATTGCATAAAAATCCTTCTCCTTTTACATGACAATATGTATCTATGCACAATTTCCTCTTTTATTTTGCTCCTCTACGAAAACGACCATCACTGACTTTTAGCCACCTATGAAGCCACTGTTTTGCGTTATCTTAGGATATGACGCGGTATGACCACATCTGAAACAAGCGCCTCCAGTGAGTTAAAAATCAACCGCGCAAGATGATAGAGTCGATTTCGTATGAGTGGGAAACGTACGGTAGAAATTACCGCACGGTTACCGCACAGTTACCGGACCTGGCCTGCACAATTTAGTTTGTGAACCAATGGGGCACTAGAATTTGGTTACAGTACGATTACGGTTACAGTACAGTACCGTCCGTTTCCCACTCATACGAAATCCGCTCTATGACATGGAAAATATATTATTCTACAAAATCGGCATGCATTTGCGCATGATCTCATCTGAGCGCGCGCACAATTTCCGCGCTTGCGTTTAAAACTATTAAGCTGGATAATTCCCTTACAATGACAGACATTTGATTTTTTGTCACAATTCATAGTCAGATTTATGTCCCATTAGCATCATTGAGACATTCAGTAATTCAAGGCTGAAAGCACTACTTGTGAAAAGACCGGTGCATGCTGTTAATGCAGGCTTTATGCTCCAGTTTTATTACCGAACGAGTTACAATTAATCGACATTTACTTTGTAGACGCCTTCTTTATGGCATTGACTTCGCAGCGGACCTACTATTATATCATATGCTTCCTGAGGCTAATAGATATTTTCATAAAAAGCCTCTATTACATAGGAAATCATGTACTTTGTGACATTCTATGTAAGCGAGATTATTAATCATGAAACGTTTAGTATAGAAATCATCAGTTATTTAGTTGTTGTCCTCATTGGACTGCGCCAGAATTTCCTTTATAAATTGCTTGTTCATTTTGCTTCCTTCCTTCCTTCCTTCCTTCCTTCCTTCCTTCCGACCTTTCTTCCTTCTTTCAGTCATTCTGTCTTTTGCCAATCTTGGACGAATTTCTTCATAAGATTCTATTCGTTCTTCCTTTCTTGCAAAGACATTCATTTATTCAATCCCTCTTTTATCCAATTCTTCTTCCTTTGTTTCTTTCAGTCATATCTTTTATTGACGTCATTCCTTTATTAATTCTTTTTCTTTTGCTTCACTCTTTTGTTTTTGCCATCCAGATTTATACCTGTACAATGCACGCACTTGTAGCTAACCACCATAATCCCACGGACCAACATAACAAAAGTGATCGGCCAGTGTTTTATATCCTCCCGCTCCCACAATGTAAACTAAGTATCCACGTGCTATTTAAAATATTTTCACGCAAATTTTTAATCAAGTATAGAACACGGGAAACATGTGGGAAGCATGATTCAATCATTGCTCCGTCCACATTTCAAAATCAATTTGAAATTTGGTATCTATGTTAGTTTAGTAAATTGGTGTCTTGTCGCGCCAAACAGTAGGAATAACGCCCTACCGCCTCGTTTTTGGCTATTAAGTGATGTAGAGACCCAATGTTAAACGCAGACTGTTGTAATTATCACTGCATGGAACGAAGCGGCCTTTTATGTTGTCAGCTTCTAAATCATCAGCCATTTTAATGACATTTGATCATTAATGACATTTCGACGATGAGAAAGCTTTCCAGAAGCTAGTGTATAAAGTTGGTGGAGAGAATTCCAAAACAAAATACGGTAATAGTAGACTTTGTGGTTACACTATGTTGATAAGTTCCTTTCTTGTCTTCATTCTCTTCAATGAAATTTAGAATCCCTAGTTTATTTTGACGTCACATCAAAACACTGTATTGTTTTAACGCTAAGGATCATGGTAGCTAGAGGGATCAGAGTGACTTCATATATATCAAATAAAAGGTACATGAGCAATCACTTTCTCATGCACTGGAAAAAATCGCGCGCTTTAAAGGTTGTAAATTTGATGTAAACATGATGATGTAAGTGTCCAACATTCTGTAAATTTGATGTAAACGATTTCCATTAAATTTACAGAATTTTGGACACTTACATCAACTTTACAACCTTTACATGTAAAGCGCGCGATTTTTTCCAGTGATGATATATATCAAAACACGATTTATTGAAGTTCTACTAGGAAATAATATAAATGGCCCCAAAATTTTCACTGTTTTTGATCATTTGATCATTTGATTATTGCATCATTTTTCCGATGTAAATATACTGTGAGGTCATAATGAAATAGGGCATCCGTACTTGTCGACACTTCCTAAAATGTCCCTTTCACTTAAAAATAATGTTGGTGTAGTTTAGCCTCCGTAGCAGACATTTTTAGTGGTTCGAAATAGTTATGATATGTGATGACTAGACAAATCAATGCATGTCAACTCGAAAGCATATCTCAACACTCGGGGGGTGAGCGGGAGAATAAATATTTGCACTAATATGCCGTGAGAATTTGAAAAAAAAAGGAAATAGATGTCCAATGATCCAACAATCATGACAGCGTTTTAAGTCCCCTAAAATCTCTTAATGAAGGCTTTTATTTCAGATAATTTTTTTTTTGCGACTTGCAGGTGCTGCTAGTGCTGCTTTTAAAATGATTCTTTCTTAATTTCTCTGTTTTCTTTTGCTTAGCATGTGTATAACATTAATGTAAATTCAATATTTCCTTTCCTTTTCTTTTATAGATTTTCCCGAGTTTCGCAAGCTCAGTGAGAATCACTGCCGCATGCAGCTAGTCCAAAAAGCAGTGTCGTCGTACTAAAAACGCTTGCGCATGAATGCCCTTGCGATGTCAGTGGTCACAAATGTAACAACTGGTCTTACTTGAAAGAACCGTGGAGCAACTGTCTATTGGTCAACCCTCAAAGGAAGGTTGCGTAATTGTAGGAAAGGCTATTTTTCGACTGTCTTATAATTTCTTTTTCTTGTACTCAGGATTAAAATACCTTTGTGATACCGAACTGTTGAGCATACCATATTTTTCCTTAAGTTTGGCATAATTTCTTCATAGTCAGACAAAGAAAATTAAAACTCGGTTAGTTTCTATCTTTACTCAACGTTCCGATAAATAATAGCAATGCTTGAATGATAGAAGAAAGGTTAATTGATTTATGTTTCATTGAAATAAAAAAAAATTAACACAAACAAGCTAGCTAATATGTGACATATTCATTTACCTTTTTGGGGTATGCACATGTTTATTTCTGCAATATTGTTTGATTCTGCGCTCCATATCACTTAGTGTTTAATGAAAAATATTGCCAGCCACGAGGTCATAATTAAAACTAGATACAGATGACCAGTGACTAGCGTTCACGAGGGCAGCCGCAGCAAATACAATCGCGTTCCCTGCATGTCATCTTGTTGTCAAATTGAATAAAATGCGAATCATTCCACGTGTTTTGTGGAGGTTTGTTTTGTTTTATCAAAGAGTGAACTATGCATGAGAAACCAAGACAAAACAAACTAAAAGTATGGGTGATAAAAAACTACACCCACTAAAATATATCATAATCTCGTCTAAAGATTACATTCATAACTGTCATTTAATTTGTCAAATCATTTTGCATCTCATAGCAATAACCCTCCAAAAGACGTCGCGTATTACTATGGTGACAAAAAGCACATTAAGACTTTTAATTATGGTGAAGAAATTGCCTGCAAAGACAGCATGCATCTGATAAATTTGCTGTCGTGAAATGTAAAATAACTAAAGAGTGGCAAACTTTTTTTCTTTTGAAAGGCCGACATTACGGATTTTTATTACCTTGATCTTAGACAACATGAAGAAAAATGGACAGAAACTTTATTCAGTTTTTGATCATGACATGAAATTTCATTTAATTGCGTTGGTAAAGAGGAACAGCCGCCATTTTGGAAAGTTTTTGTGTCCTGTTTTAGCTGATAGTTAAACTGTAAATGTTTGCGAAACTTGATAAGTCTGTTTAGTTGAGTTTGTTTGATTGTAGATGAGGAAAGTATATAATAGTTCTTGCCATTTATTCTTGGAAAGTACTCAGTATTATGTTATGCTCTCCTCGTAAGTTGAGTCAAAAGGTAGCAATTGAACAAATTTCAGTGGTTAGATCTAAACTCCCACGCTCGGCATCATCGAATCGTCAAAATTGGAGAAATGATAATTACTGGAGAAATGATAATTATTGGAGAAATGATAATTTTGATAATGAGATGGCGTCAACAGTGGTAAATAAGAGGACAGAGCACCAGAAACTATCATAAATTTGCAATTTACCACAAAACAGTCTTATGCGAATGCTATGAACATAACAAAATTGAGATCAAAATTTCGAATTTTTTTTTTTTTTTTTATTTGACGATTATAGTTAATAATTTTCTCAAACTTTAACTAGTTGAATACAATTTCAAGTAATAAAGAAAAATTAGGTAAAGAAAAAAGAAAAAACCTGAAAGCAAAGTCAGGACCTTGGTATGTACTTTTATAACCACTGCTCTCAACCAATCAGAAATCGAGAACGCGTACATTTACAATTGTGGAACATTTTTCAGTCTTTATATAAGCCTCGTGCAACTTAATGTTAAATACATTGTTAAGTGCCTTAAATACCGCATTATAGAATATTTCATCCTTTTTCCCGTCGTATCATCGCATTTACACGAAAATATACGACCAATTAAACAAATTGTGCAACAATTTTTCAGTTAAACTATAATAATCCCCGAATCCAGAAACCTCGAAAGTTCTGAATTACAGAATAATGAAACCGACATCCATCACAAGGAAGGAATAACGAGTAGCTATAAATTTACTTAGGCTGAATTCTCCCACGTCCCAATTTTCAAAGCCTGGCATTAACGCGGCTATTAGAGCTGAAAGCTTTCCTTTTATGGAGAGAATTCTGAAACAACTCGTTACCAACAGCTACTACACAAATAGTTGATCACTTGTTAAAAAAAATTGACATCAACAATTTCTATTAGGAAATCATCAACCGGTACCTCTCAGGATTAATCACTGGTTAAACTGTTTTGTAAATTGTTTTCTTTTTATAAAATGGTAAACACGTAATATAAACACGTCAGAGAATCTTATCCTTTCACTATTCGCCACGGCAAACTACTACTGAATATCATTTATAAATTTTTGCGGTCAAATGGGAAAAACTGGTCATACAGCGCTATAGGGATTCRAAATAGTAAAGTTTGTTAAAGTTCTACATAGTGTACTAAGACTAATAATATTATTATTTAGTTATTTTTTGCTCAGTTGTGATAAGAACTAGTATATATTTTACTTTAAAAAATCAATTCTATAAATCAGTCGGCGATTATAACTACTTTTTAAAGTAGTTTGTGTTAAAATACAAGTGCTAAGCGATTGTAAACTGCCACTTCAGCCTTCGTAGTATATTCATATAGACTTCAATTGAAGTTCCATTATTGTTACCTGCGCTTAGTATGAAATAAAATACACTGGCGATACAACTATTGTGTTTTTTAACAACTTATTTCAAAGTTAACACTATTGCTTATTTTCAATTTAAAATTAATCTGAAAAGAAGAGAAAATGTCAGAATTGCTGAAAGCCACACATAAATAAGAAGCTCTCCAAATCCACATGCCCCTAATTAAACATGCTAGAAATAGACCTATCTCTTCAATAAAAAAAACAACAGTTTTTTCGACCAATCGAGATTCTAGTAGCGATATTAAACAATAAGCAAAATAGCGTCTATGGTAACTTTAAGTTCAATCAATCAATCAAGAAAACAGATGGCACGGTGAGCATCATCCCACCGCGTGCTCCCCTCATCTAATGAGCAGTCAAGGATCGATATAAGATATAAAAGACCTCTTATAAGACAACCTTAGTCATTTTATCACCAACGAGTGGTTTGTCACATAATCATGAAGATATCAAGTTGGATCATTTGTAGTATTGTTGTTGCTTACATAGCTGGGACAGCAGAGGCAGTTTGGAATCTCGAGGGTGCTAGCGGGAAAAGAGGCGTTTTAAAAAAGAGATTGAAGGTACTGAATGACAAAAGACTGACTTCTGCCATTTTATATGTCTAAAAGTATAGAAAATTCACATCTGTTATCTGAAATTTATTTTACAAACTTCCTGTTTATTTTTTGCCACGCTGAGTTTGTGGCCTCTTTAAACGTTCTGTTTCCTGATCGTTCAAAAAAAAGTTCTATTTGTCCCTCTTTTTCACACTTTTACTCCAGTTTAACACAATACTCGCGCGAAGGCCAAAACACGAAACCCTTCCAGGATCTGGCATTTCGAAAAAATCAGCAAATTAAAACTTAATATTTCGGTTATATTGGTTTATAAATTAGGCTTAAGGAGAATCTACTTTTAGTGTCGGTAAGCAATTAAGCATTATATCAAAGCTCGGGCTTGATACCTTTTTTTTGCCGTACGAGTTTATTTACAATGCTTTTATACTATTAAAAAATTCTAAAAAATGTTAAAAGCTCATACTCATAAAAATTCATAAAAAAGCTCATAAAAATTCATCTAAATTGCATTTCTAACTTACTGTTTTTATTGCTTATGTATTTGTTTGATAAAAACAAAAATGGAGAATCAGTTCGTAAAAGGGTTCATTTTCAAAGTTATTTAAAAAGAAGACCTTCAAATAACCCAAACCGCGAACCGTCATAAGACGCACCGAAAGTTAATTTCACAGCATTAGAAGAGCGCAAAAAAACGTTCTTATATACAACACTGTATGTGCATCAACTTTAAAGTCTATACAATTGTTGATTGAATTTAAAAGCATTTTTATTTCTTTTGCTATGGCTTATAAGTTTTTATTTTACAGAGAAATTTTAACAGCTTGTTCCAAGCACTTCAACATCGTCAAAAATTTCTTAAATTGTTGAATATATGATGTCAGTTTCTTCAGTTTTTTTTGTCTAAAATTTTCTTTAAGTCAAATATTTTTCAAATGTATGTATTTTATCACATGCGTAGTTCTCGCCTCATCCGTGTTATCAAATACCATCCAATTTCTATATATTCTCTACAATTTCGCTGACTTGTTTCGCTCATTTTTTCTTTATTGTTCAACTTTATCTCACAAGTTTATCTACTCGGCCCTCTCGAACACACTTTCAATTAACCTCATCTATCTCTTATCTTTCGATATTTCAATTTTCAATTTTCAATGTCAAATGCCTATTGTTTAGGTATGAATAATTCGGTACTTCGTGGTTCAATTGGACTCAAAACATTATATTTATAGCGACTTGCTCAACGTCGTGTATATTGTAACAATGCCCTAAGGCCTGATGTTAGAGTCTACAGTATTCATTATTGCTAACAATTTAGGCGGTTTAATAGCTGCCGAAACGTCAGTTGCTCATTTGAACTAAATGACAATTATCTTTCAGTCAATTTGGTCGCAACTTTTTCGCAATATTCAGTATCCAGCCTAGGCTGGAGTGGTCTTTAGAATTCGGAATAATATAAATTTCTCCATCAATTACCGTCGGCATCACACCAGCGCTACTATTTCCGCGAAATAAATGCTGCTTCCTAGTGAGATACTAAGTTTATATTGGACAAAGGAGGATTAGATAATACTCGTTTGGTCAATTCTTACAAGTTGACGCACTGACGGAGAACAAAGCACTATCAATTTTAACTATTACTTCATCCTTTTTGAGAGTTAGACTAAAATAAAAACTGTGAAAAAATATTGTTATTAGCTAGAGAAGAAGTATCCTTCATATTTCCACGTTTGAGTTCGTGTAGGTGTGGCGCAGTGTTCCCAAGGCTCTTTCAACCTCCTGAGTTTTGAACATTTTTATTTGTTTAAGGAGAAGTTTTCATTGAACGCGACAATAAGACAAGAAAGCCCCCCAAAAAAACCCGAGTCCGAATAAGTAGATAAAAAATAAATAAATAATGGTATGTAATGTGAGAAAAAAATGATAATAGGATTACGATGGGTGCATGAATTGAGAATAGATGATGAATCGATGAGTTTTGTTTCTCGTTTAAGGCCCGTTTACACTTGCAGCGCGATAATCGCCACTTTGCTATCGCGCAACTAAAATCGTACTTGTAAACAGCCCTGTGATTGCTCTGGCGATGGAAAATCTCCGCGAAGTTGCAGCCAATTTTCAAGCATGTTCAAAACTCAGACGATGTTCGCGAGACGATCGCCGCGCAGAATCGTTCTTCAAAAATCGCAAGTGTTAACGGGTCTTTAGTCATTTCAGTTTTTCTGGAAAAAATGAAGTAGCGCACGCAAAATTCACAAATGAATCTTTCTTGAAATTTAGCCACAACATGACCATACGTGTATCCCAAAGTTTAGCCCAGCTCGCAGCCGGGAACCAAGCTTATACATTCATTTTACTGATGCTAATCACACAGCGCTTATTGTTTTCAGAAATTACCGTCCACCAAGCGACTATGTTCCAAACAATTGACTTTAGAAGAATGTATGGCAGAGTTACAGGATTCCAAGATTTACGAGAGACATCCATTTCGATTTCTGCGCCCTAAAGAACGCCTCGATGACTGAACAATCGCATCTATCAACAATAAACTTTGAAAATATGCCTCGAATTATTACGCCAGTATTATCATTGTAATTTAGTTTATAAAATGTTAACACGAATTATTTTTGAGAATTGTGGGTTTCTTCTTGTTTTCCTTGTTAACTTCAACTTCAAAATCTGCGTACAACTTGCTGGTAAAACCGCTGCTAAAATCAATTTTAATAACGGAGTTTACGGGAATCCGTACAAAGACCGTTCTCGTGCGGACGGAACACGTAAACAGCGAAACAAATAGCAGTTTATTATAAAGAGTGTATAACGTTTACGTATTCGTTTGCGTATGTGCGGGACATGTATCAAATAAAACGGTAGTTCGAGTCAAATCGCTTACCAAGCGTTTTGAGAGTGCGATCATCATATGCGAGTTTGAAAAAATAAAATGAAAAATAAGATTAACTAGACCATCAATAGTAATAGCATTTGTATGTAATAAGAACGTCCGTAACCCATAATACACTATTGTTCTACATTTGGAGAGAATTATTATTAGAATGTACTCATTTGCCCAATTTTCATTCGCTTTGCCCCACTCTCCCGGTCAAGTTGAAACGAGCACTGCTGAGGCCAATTAAATAAACATCACTCCCCGAGCGGAAGATTGGGGCAGGATTTCATTTCCCTTCGTCCCAAGCTCCCAGACAGTTAAAAACGCGCAACAGTTGAACCGAAACTATTGCTCACAGTGAGGAAGCTTGGGACGAGCTCGTTCATACCACGTGACTGCTGAGATGACGTAGTACTTTAAACGACTGATCAGCATTTGTGATCGATAAAATACTTTTTTCTTACAAATCTGTCATTTCTAGTTCTGAGGATCTGTAAAAATGTGCCTTAATTTATTAAAAACCTGATTACATTAAAATTATTTCATTCAACTTAAAGTTGAGAATTATCTAAATCAAGCATTGTGCCCAAATAAACCCAAGAAATTGAAGGAGCGTCTCCAAATCGATAAAAGTGCAAAGTTTGGTCTCACAAGAGGAAATGCTTCATAGTGAAATTGTTCATTCTAAGTATGGATATCTGCGCGAAAAAGATTAAATTACTAACTATTTATATTTCTAAATCGAATAAATGTTGTTTTGATACGAATGACAACTCCTGCCATTTACGGCGAATTCTTTTGGAGAACTTTTGTGGGTGAACAGACTCGACCGCCATCTTGAATTCATGGAAACCAAGCGCGAGTATGCGATTAGCCAATCAGAAGAAAGCGTGGGAATCAAACGCTCGCGGCTTGTCCCACAAATGCTTTCGAGTTTTCGTAAATGACATGATTTGTCGATAAAATTCCCCATGGTCTTTTGAAGAATTTTTACTGCTTTGAGATTCTCTGTGCATTTCTTCATGCTCCAAGATTTCTGTCGCTTTACAACAATAAAATGGGCGCCATACTTCTCTTGTGCAGCAAATTCCGAAACTTTATACTTTTATTCTTTTTTTTCCCGAGCTCTTTCCATTTCTTAAATCGATTTTTAAGGTACTTTTGATTTAGTGGCGATACGGACAAGTGACTTCGTTGCTGTGGAAGTCGTCAAAAATAGAAGATATGTGAAGTTCAGTAAAATCAGTAGAAGTCTCGAATGAATACTCCTAGATATCATTACACACTTCAACTGAATTCACTAAAAGTGATTATATCAAACCTGCGAAATTCACTAAATGAGAACAATTGTGCTAGCGATCCGAAAATAAAAAGGTTTTTTGACAACCAGCTTTATCATGTATATTTTCACAGATTGAATGAAATCACTCCTAAGAGAAGTACCAATTGCCAGTATAAATTGAATCTATTTGGAATTTGAATTTATCGATAAAATAATAGCCATAATAATAGTCTTAGGTGCATAAAAGCACAATTAATGGCCTAGAAATCACCCAGCAGTGCACACCCCCACCCTCCCCACCCATCTCAAATACTTCGGCAACTAACCTTTACAATCTACTTAGAGTGAATCAAAGCCCATTAGAAGCCACTGTGGTATAGAGTGATGTGCATATTGGACAACAATAGTAGTATACCCCACTAAAGAATCGAAACTTTGTGGACAGAGCATCTGAGACTACAAGAGTAATGAGATATTATAGTGAATCAAAAAAATGGAAAGAAAGAAATGTAAACAGCAAAACAGACAACACAAAAACAACACTAACCAAATTAGGGCAACAACAACAAATAACGATATCAACAACAACAACATATAGTAGCAAAACAAAACATAAACGATATCAACAACAAGAACAACAACATATTGCATTAGCAAAAACAAAACAAAAACATTAACAACTATATGAACAAGAACAGCGACAACAACAATTACAATAAGACACATTACAACAAACAATAACCACAGCAACACCAACAATAAACACATATCAACGAATTTCTCGCGAAAGCCTAGACCAGTCTTCGGCCACTGCTATTCAGACTAACTTTGCCTATATCCTGACTGCAAAGATTGTATAGCCCCAGTCATTAAAACCATTTACGTTAGCATAAATCCCTTATTATAAGACGTGCACTAGCTACTTCTAATCACAGAATAAAAATTTCATTTAAATTGAATGAATTTGGTTGGTGAAGAAGACGGTGTGTAGCCAGATTCAAAAAATGATGAATAAATTGTAATAAAAATTGTTTAAAATCTTCATGTCAAAATTTTGTCTGCATGGACAAACCATTTTTCGAATCGGTAAACTTGTAGCTCAGTTCAATGTCTAGGAAGGATGATAACGATTCTTTAGTGAGGTATAATACATCGAGTAACACACAGTAACTGAACGCAGACCGCTGCCCACAGAATGCACTCCAGTAAGAATTAAATAATAGTTCCTACTACTATGTACACTTATACACTGTACAGAGAATTACGTCACGTGATAACCACGTAACAGCCCACGTGATAAACCACGTGATAGACAATGTTAATATTGACCAAGAAACGAGGATGTGTTCAGTCTCCCTCGGTTATCGGTGTTTTGTGACAATTTAAAATCCGCAACACTTGGTAATCATTGCACGATACGATATTCGACCAACCAATAATATTCCTTTGCTGTGTCACGACAGTGAGAATACAATAGTAACGCAATCCATATCAATTCAAAAGAACGCATCCCAGACGTCACGCAACAATACGGCATTCCCAGTGTCACGACGGACATGATGCGACTGGATTGTTTTCCTGACGCGAATGGCCATCACAATTTTAATTCATTTGCAACTTTTGATGCGATGTTCTTGAAATTAATAGCGGTACCGGAAATACGCTTAAATCGGACACCGTTGAGTGACAATCGAGGTAATTTGCATACTTCCATTTCCCACTGCACGTGGTTATTCTCCGGCGGACTGCCATGGCAACAATGCATTAGATACCTCTCTTTTCGTTCATAGTTACAATTATTAGCTTCCAAGACCTTGACTATCTCTTTAATCATATCATAGGGATCCAAAGTGCTTGTAGTCTTCATACTCCACGTAAATCGAAGTGAGCGCGGTTTGTCATTTGAGTCTCCAACAGACCTGGTAGTACAGACAAGAAATAACATCACACAATCATCACGTGATCCCCGCGTGATCATCCAATCACGTGACAGATAACCTCACACAATCGCCGGCCAAAAGGTGGAATTTTAAACCTGCCTTTTTCTCTGCTTTCTGAATGAGAGTCTAGCGAGCGTTCTTCGAATGGACCGAGACCTCGTCCTCCCACTGGCCCCTTGATCGGGTGAGGACTTTGAGCCTGAATCCCCGCCTCCACGCGCCCTTGAATGCAAAAAATCAGCGCGTCAAACCCCTGTTGGCCGTCCCCACGACCGTGGTCACGAGGTTTAACGGCGGCACACGGGGACCTCCTTGCAACACACGCACATTAAGAACACATGTACAAACTAGACAACTACAGTGACGAAGTACGAGGTTAAAAAATTTACAAGAGCCGCGGAGAGAAGGGGAGTGGCCGTCATCACCCAGTGCAGTTAACTAGTGCTTACAGTGCAAAAAGAGAAAGAGAGGTGCATCGCATACATGTACCTGTGCTGGCTAGATTCACACGATACTTAAAATGTGATCTCGTCCGGTTATTAAGTTAATTCATAATTATCACTCGATAACACTACTTAAAAATTAAAGGGTTTTAAGCAGGTTAGATGATTAAGAAGCGTTAATGAGGTTAGCAAGGTTATGTTTGTTATAAACTTATTGATAAAACACTTCGCATTATTATCAGCAAGGAACATACGGTCGGACAGGACATGCACGCGCATTTTTTCCTCTCTGCTACAGGGCGGTTTAATATACCACAATTTGGCCGGCTTTTTAGGACACGATACGATACCTAGACGGTGTTAGCCGAGGTCTGATGACCACTCCCTTCAATCATCGTTTCCTGATCAGAACAAAGCAAACGTTTAAACGCCCGGTCACGCACTTCTCACGTTGTTTGTTAGACTCGTCATGCAATACGAGTCACGCTACAAGGTTTAATGATTTTTATCGTAACATGCAGAATACTGGTTAACCATCGGAATTGATGTTGACTTATTGAGATTGATTGGTGTTATAATGGTGTTAGTATTTACAGGACTACGTGTTTTACTACAGTACACACACATACCGACAATATCCCGACAATTTCCCGACATTATCTCGATAGAATTCCGACAACATATCGAGTTAATTCCCACAATAAAACGAGTATACAGACAAAACACAACATATTGACTACTAAAACATTAGCATATTAAAATGTACTAAAAATACATATAATGAATATACTCCAAGACAAACAAATATATACGAATGTTGGAAATTCAACACCAAACACCATCCACCGTGTTTGCCAGGAAATTACCATAGAAACAAGGCTGGCATACACGATGAATGGTCGGAGGCTCCCACGTGTGCAAATGAACACAAAACAATAAATACGACAACGTTGTGAGTGATTATGGTTGTTTGTATCCTACGTCAAACAAGTAAGCATGCACCAATTTTGTTTGTAACGTCATTACGTTGTAACGTTTACGTAGCATGCAAATGCTATTGTCCACTGCTTTACGTTAGCGTAAGCATGCATACGCACGTACTATTACGAGCAGTTCTGTTTTCGTATGTGATACGTCAACTTTTCAACGAGTAAAATAAAATCCACACTTACGCAAAATTTACGTTTACGCATGCAAAATAATAAAGACGTATGCGTCAATATAAATACCGCAACAAATTATTACGTAAAGGAGTGACTGGTACGTACGGGTTAGTTGAGCAGGTTAGACTTGCGTTAACATACATGACTCACCATGCTACAATGACTAAATCACAACATGTGGCATGCTGCAAGGAAGCATGACTACTTCGCATGGAGCTTGGTGAGAATACTACATCGATTATCTTAACTAAGGTCTCTCAGAAAGCACAGAAATAGAGGTGTTGGCTCATTAAGTGCATGTATTACGTCATATCCGGTTGGGTGGATTACAACACACTTCCGTTACGATTTGAAAAGTACGTATGACTGCGTCACAACTGGCAATACAGTAGCTGTTTCTGACTAGGTCATAAATTGAACAAAGAAACACCGATTTGTCTTTAAAGATGACTGTATCACATCCGCCAAAACCAGAGAGGATTAGGACTGACAGATCACGTCACATCCGCTATTGGACTAAAACGCGTCACATCCGGTGGCGTTAAAGCGCATGCGTTAGTAATAAAGACCTCTGTGCATGGAATAATAAACGCATGAATAAGAATTAAAAGGACATTGTTAATATGCTAAATCTAAGCAAAGCAAAGTTACCAAAAGAAGTTAAGACGAAACGAAACAGATTATAAGCTGAAGATGGGATAAGTGGGAATAGAAATGAAAAATAGAAAATAATATTAATAATTATTCAGGAAATGGATAATTCTAGAGTAGCTCCCTTGAACGAAAGTAAAATAAGGTTCAAAAGGGCTACACTAAATAGATCYAGGTCAAACATCAAACGTTTCACTAATGGAACACAAATGAAGATCCAAGAGTTCAATACATGAAATATCCAACGTTTTAACCTGGTCTTAATGAGTTATCACGTACGAACAAATATGGCATACAACCTGAAAGCGGACGTATCCTACCTCTTACTAAACCGTGAAGTCAGTTTGCTAAACAGCGACGGTCTATTGGACACTCCAGGGCTGTTTGGATCATGCGCTCTTGACAACCCATCATCCCGCTGTCGTTCGCGTGCTGTACCACTATGGAAAGTACTACGTGCTGGCATATTACGTGTTCCCAGTCTCGACGGGACTGGAATATTGGAGTTCGGCGTAGAGCTGAGCAATGAATAAGAATAGACAATTTAGGTCGATTTTAGATTTCCGAATGTATAAAGACGGCTTTTTTGCAGCATGCTATGATTTCTAAGTTACTTTAATGTTTACGAGTTTACGAGTTCAAACAAACTAAAAATCAAGGATGTACAAAGTGAAGAACGAAAGAGCTTATTCAACATAAATTAACGTATTTAGAGTACGAGCTATTACAATTTTTATTACAATAAGCCTCAACAGCTACACCCAGCTATACCACGTTAATTTTGGTCAGCGGTGTTTCTTGAACACAACCGCTGGTCAAGAGGAACGTGGACCTTCTGGATACAAAATTATGAATTATTTATGACGATTGATTATGAAGGCGCATTTATCATTTAATTACTATAGTTTAACGCGTTTAAAAGGGCGGTGGCCGAACTCACCCAGGCCTATATCTATCTTCCTGATGCGAGGCAACAGGGGGTAGCGATCTACGCACTGGTTCAAGGCGATTAGTTAACCCGGCTTTAGGTGGTGGAGGTCGACTGGGTCCTGCCTCTGGAGGTGTTGTACTACTACAAGATATTAATATTATTTGATGTTTTTAATGCACTTTAGTATCGCTAATTACCCTGAAACAATAGCCCCTTTTAATATTATTGCTGCGTCAGAGCATGTTAGGCTCGTCTTATGTGAAAGGGTGTTCCTAGGTACCAGGTCTACTAATTAGGGGCACCGTATGGTATGCAAACGGGCCCAAATTGACAAGAATTTGCTATTTTAAGATTTAAGTGTGCTTTAACGTGATTATGGTTGATGTTTGGAACTTTCATTTACAAAAAATCGCTGCCTAATATTTAACTTGAATCAAGATATAGAAGATAAATTTGATGCCTTAGCAGCGGGTTTTAGCTTTATTTTGTTTGACATTATTCTCTCGAAAGGAGTTTTACATGACAACCCACTAGTTGAGAGTGATTAGGGAGAGTTTGAAGTGGGCAGCACATGAGAATGTTGTTCTACTCGTGCCGATCTCCGATCAGCCCCACTCACTCAAAAGCATGAGGATTTTCTAGAACGCTTTTGATGCATGCCATTTGAGTAATTTAATATGAATGAAAATATTATCACAAAGTAACATTATTAACGTATCTGTTAGAAAAAACATTGTGAGTTTAACTGAACAAAACAAGATAATAAAAAAGCAAACTAAAATCACGACAAAACAAAACAACGGCACAGAACTCGAAAAACAACGAATAACCACAGCAACAGTAGCGACAACAATGACAGCAACATTAACAGCAACAACATCAGCAGTAGTAAGAACGAGAAGCAACAACAATGGCCACAACAGCACTGAGCACTATCAGCAATAGTAAAACAACAGCAACAACATCAGCAGTAGTAAGAACAGTAACAAGAGAAGCAACAACAATTGCCACAACAGCAGCAACAGCAGCAATAGTAAAACAACAGCAACAACATTAGCCACAACAGCAGCAGGTGCCAGCATAAGCAGCAACAACATTAAAAGATTTACGAAAAAACGCCATTCGAATACGATGACTCAAGTGCTGTGAGCAGCACACAATGCACAGTTGTCTAGCCATATTTGACATCTTTATTGTCTTACCTTGGTTCTTTGCCTTCTAGTTGTGACGAGCCTGTCTGTGTCGAGTTATTTCTTTCTTCACCCTTCTCTGCTCTTCGTTCACACACAAACGTATTTCGGCGGGACATTCCTGGTGGCATACTATGTTGCTGTGAAGAGAGAACGGTTTGGCATAATTAGGAATTGTTTTTACTTTTTTTTTTACTTTTTTTTTTTTTTTTTTTTTGCATCGAGACCCATTTTTATGATGCGATCTTAGTACGGAATTTCTGATGTATTCTTTCGCGCTACAAATGTTCAAATAAGTGTACTGAAAGTATAGTGAAGAGTGACTGAGTGCTGAGTTTTGAATCTACGCTAGATACATCTACAACAATGTAAGGAAAGATAAAGTTATCCACCCGATAGATTTTCTCTTTACTCCAACGAAGTATTAACGTTCGAAACGTCAGTAAGTTGTTTCACCTACTTTTTTTGAGGTGCCGTTAAATTTATCTTTTTACACAACTGTTTCTTTAGAAACACTGACGCAGCTCACACTAGTTTACCGCTAGTTCCCGCCATTCAGATTTTGTATGGATTTTGTTGAAATACGTTTCTATTGCAACAAAGTCTTACCCGTTGAGCACGCCCTCTGCTCCGTGAGTTGTCTTCTCTTTCAGGTATCTCAGCTTTGTTAGGATTTGATGCTCGGCCGATTGTAGTTGGAAGTCGTTCCTCTGGTACTGGTCCACTAGCTTGTCTGTCCATCCCTGGTCTAGTTGACGGCCGTCCCTGTGGCGTTGGTATACTACTGTCAGCCGTAGCACTTGTCCTGTTGATGTGCAAAGATATATATTTTGTAACTACGTGAACCAATTACATTTCTCGCTCTTTTTCTCGGGCTGAAAAGTCGTAGCTCACAACGAGCATTTCTTTACATTTTATTCGAAAAATTGCGCTACGTCACGCACTGAATAGCCAATTCTATCCCAAAATATATATCCGCTTAACTAATTCTTACCTATGCCCTCTTTGATTACCCTGTCTGCCCTCCCCTGTAGTTGAACGATGCCCGCTCCTTTCGTGCGGTCCATGTGAATATCTTCTCGGTAATTCTCTGCCGTCGCGATCACGTGGTCTTGAGCTGGTAGTCCGTGCTGGTCTTACTGGTCTTGAGGACGATCCTGTTGACGAGTCTGATTGCCTTATGGAACTACTGCTGTTCATGAGTGGGTCACTAGGGCCATTCACCTGGTACAGAGAAAATACATTAAGATTGATATTGAGAGTGCATGCTTCCCCACCCCACCCTAGCTAGTGCATGTAGGGACTCGGTTCCAGAATAAGACGACCTGTAACCTGGCAATGGTGTTTACGATGGGTAAGGTTATAACTCTGAAGAACATCGCTGCTGATTGGTTGGCACAAACCAAAATAAAACTAAAGAGCCAATCACAATGATTGTTATTTAAGAGCTGTAAAACTACAATTATAATATATACTTACGTTTCGTAACGAGATGGTCAATCTTCTTTCATCCAGCAACAAGTATGTCGCCATTACTTCATCATACCGATTGTTTGACAGGCTTTCTGTAATTTCGTCTTTTGTAAATCCCATTTGTAGCATAATTTCTGAATAGAATAATGACACTGGATTAACATTTACGAAAAAGAGAGAAGTTCTGGCTGCAGGTGTATAATTCCTCTATGTATAACAAACTTACCCATTCTATTTTCATCTTTAAAATCGGGTGCCGGTTCTAAGTAAGGTTTTAGCTCATTTAATTCACATCCTATATTCATCCACTTGTCTGACATTATTTGCTGAAAACAAAAGAAAACAAAGTATTTTGAGGGAAAGACAACAAAACAAATAGAAACAAACCTTGTTTTCTTACCTCTAATTTGGCTCTTTTTTGAGGATTAATTACTAAGAATCGTTTCAGGAGATTTTCACAATCTGAAATAAGACAAAACTTATTAGTTTAAAGTACTTTTTCATGATCATTAATCAGAATTATCGTAAGTACTCCAGGTTTGCTCTACCTGTTGACATGTAAAAGGGTATTCTATATTTTCCTCTAAGTACTCTTTCCCGTAATTCCTAAAAAAATACAGAAGAAAATTCAGTAATTTCAATTAACATTGGGACGTCAGAAGCACAATGATTGCCATTATCGGGGGCGTATCCAGGATTGTCATTGGGGGATCCTTACATACCAAATTGTCACTGTGACGTCATATGACGTCAAATCTGTTGTCATATCAATCTATGGTTTTCTCGCTTTTTTGGCTTTGAAAGGGGGTCACGGGCACATACGCCCCCCTGATTATACATGTAATCCAGCTTTGATGATGTAAAAATTTTTAAACCTGATTCATTTTTCGGTTAGTTGCATATGAGGTCTTTAAGTGCATGGGCTAATAACATTATAAACTATGACATCTTACTCTACCTTAAGATTCTGTCCATCAAAAGGCAACGAACCACTGACTAGTGTGTACAGAATGACTCCCAAACTCCACACATCCACTTCAGGGCCATCATATTTCTTGCCTTGAAAGAGTTCAGGAGCAGCGTACGGTGGGCTTCCACAAAACGTATCCAGCTTATTGCCGGGTGTGAATTCATTACTAAARCCAAAATCAGCTATCTTGATGTTCATCTCACTATCTAATAGAAGATTTTCAGCCTGGAAATACAAAGAAAAGGGCTTGGTAAGAGGGTTAACGTAAGGTTATTATATGAGCTGTTCATTATCGATTATCTTGATAATAAAAGAATATCTTTCTGTAGTCTAGTATTCAAGATTCTATCATGTGCTACATATTTATCCAAAAAAAAAATCAAAATTCCAGGACTTGTCAAGTACTAATTCAAGCAATTTCCAAGTACTATTTTTTTTTTTTTTTAAGATCTGTTAAGATTTTAAGATATTTGAGTGCTTCCTCTTCTTCAAACCAAAAAATAAAGAATGAACAAGTAGATTGAACTATATTCATGGAGTATTCAAGGAAAATTAGTGGTTTTCCTAAGTTCGAGGGCTTTTAAAGTGCCCTTTCAAGGAGTTTTCAATTCCTAGGTTTTTCAAGTATTTCMAGGGGTAACATGAACCCTGTTGTACAGTCATGGTCACAGCCAGACATAACTGGCAACCAAGGCAATGAAAAGTCAAAGTTACTGAGGCAACTCCCTCATTAAGCCTCACATTTTTTTATCTAAAAAAAATATTTCAGAGTGAATTAAAATGAAAGGATGAGAGAATGGCTTGTTTCAGTTCCTATTCATTCAATATTTTAGTCATTTCAACAATTAATAAACAATAACAATTTAACTAACGTACTCATGTTTGTAAACTGCACGGCTGCTTAAAGCGCCTTCAATAGCAGTCTGACCAAGTCCCTCACAATGTAATCCAGATGTAATCCAGATCATTGGTCTGTGAAATCTGGAAGTCGACCACATCTATCTATCTATCGATAATTACCTTTAAATCCCTATGAATAACATGCTTCTGGTGGCAATACTGTACAGCAGATACAATCTACAAAAAATAAAAAATAAAAAATAGAATTAGTAATTATACATGTATATCTCAAGTTACATGTATATATCACCAAGGTTGGGTTTAGACAGAGGAAATAAAATTGAATTTAAAAAACCCTATTTACATGTAGGCATGTTTCATATTATAAGCCATACAAGGAAGGACCCAATATAACTGATAGAAATGCTGGGTCTCCGGGCAGAGAAACATTGAAGTTTGAAGAACATTGAAGAAAGCATTGAGTTTTTGAAATGCGTTTTTAAGAAATAAAGTATTATTATTATTATTAAACAAAATTTAATAAACACTTTGCATGTCTATCTTGTATATGTCATGTCAAATTTAGTGACACGCAAAATGAAAACCAATATTTTTAGGCTTGTATGTAAGGGCACCTGAACTCCTTAATTTTGTTTAAGTAYTCTAGCACTTCTAGCAGAGGCTTCAATCTCTTTTCATTGATGCTGGGAATATGCTATTTGAGTTTTGAAAAGAACTGTGTATTGCTTGTTTCATCAACTCAATTACAAATAAACTTTTCCATAAAAGCTGCTCAAGATTATCATGCAATCACTCAATGAGACATGAAGCACATCAAGTTCCTTATTAGATATCAGAACTGACATCCTGCATGACAAAACACATCTAGGTATAACTTTGCATTTTTACTCTAGAAATTATTCAAATCCTATAATTCAAGAAATTTTCCTTGGATGTTTTTTACATGAAAAAGCTATGATGTCCTATCTGACCAGTACAAGTAACACAGAAAACTGTCAATTAAGTGGTCAGAGCAGAATTAATTCTCTTGCATTTTCATGAATATGTAATAATTTTATTGCGCAAGCTTGATCTTCGCGGGAAATGACTTTGCTGAATTGAATTCCTCAGTTTTTCAATGTAAAAGAAAAGAAAAKAATCTTTTTCATCAGTATGTAGCAAATAAAGTGGAAAATAATGTTTCTAAGTGTTATTGAGCTAGTATTATTATAAAGCCCTGCTCTTGATAGAAGTTCTTTATTTTCCTCTGTTTTTCAGTGTAAAAGAAAAGAAAACAATATTTTTCATCAGGATAGTCCACATAATGTACAAAAAAAATAACATTTTCATGTGCTACTGTTATCATAAGGCACTGTTCTAAATTATTTCTTTTTTGTCATTTGAAAAAAAAAAAAAAAACACCCACAATTCAACACATATATAATTAACTACTGACGTCCATTTAGCAGTTGGCAAGACAATTTCAGTCACCTACACCTGTATAGTGTTGATGATTGTGAAACTGATCTCCAAAAGATTRTSCAGATAAAAAGACATAATCACAGTCAACAAAAAGGTCAWTTGTGTGTAAACTTTTCTTATTTTTATCAAAAAGAGTCAAAACAACTTCACAAGGTTCTGTTAACAATCAATAGTACATGTAATACATTCTGTACTCATTGTCACAAAGATTGTCCAAGTGGTTGTGTAAAGTGTAAATGTATAGGATACTATCATCGTCAATATTTTTGTGGGGAAAGTGCTAGTGCTAGGCAACTTCAAAAAATATTTAATGATGATATCCCATAATTTCTGATATATTTTATATTCCCATAATTTCTGATATATTTTATATTCCCATAATTTCTGATATATTTTATATTCCCATAATTTCTGATATATTTTATATTCCCATAATTTCTGATATATTTTAAATATATATGTGGAATATGTGTCTTTAAAATTGATCATAATTTCTGCATATTGCTGTATATTATAATCAGTTGATGCTATAATAGTTTTTCACATTTAATATTTCAATACCTGACGAAACTTTGCCCTTGCTTCCTTCTCCTTCATCCTCCCATGAGCAACAAGATAGTCAAATACCTCCCCTGTAAGAACAAAAAGAAAGCTAATTAGAGAAGATTCGCTACACAAAAACTGCATGCTAGTAGACCTAGACTACATGAAAAACTTAACATAATCTTCAGTCTTTATTATACTCAGTTTCAAGGTGAGTGCCACTAGTTTTTATTGCTGTTATGTGTTACCCTTGATAAATAAAGTTTATTGTATTGTATGGTATTGCTCATTGGTAGATCCTTGGATTTTTGTGGGTGCACCATTAAGAACTGATAAAATACATAAAACATATAGAACATATTTCTTTTTATACAGTATCTCTATGGAATTGACCTTGAAAGTAAGTAATAATTATTTACAAGTGCTCAAGGAGGGTGTGTCAAGTGAATAATTTATTTATGATAATCATATTATATACAGTAGTAACAATTACATAAAATATTATTCTCTGTTATAATGCTATTAAAATGGTTTACCAATTATTACAATGTAACAAAGAAGAGAGAAGGGCTATTATAATATCTTTTAAGGCTGTAAGACTTCCGATACGCTGTGTATTGGATAGCATAACTTTATAGAATAAACATGCATGTATATGAGAAATAAGTAATTACCTCCACTCGCATATTCCATGATCAAATACAGRGTTTTGTCAGTTTCAATGACTTCATAAAGTTTAACTAGGAAAAAATAAATAAATCAGCCAGGAGAATTGAAGAGATGTGAAGGGAAGGGGATGGAAGAGAAGAAAAGGCAAGGGAAAGGAAGGGAAAAAG